TCTGGTGTAGTTACATTTGTTGGTTTGTATTTTGTAGTTTGTGTGTGTGTGTGTGTGTGTGTGTGTGTGTGTGTGTGTGTGAGATATCCCTTTTTTTGGTTTTGCAAGCAATGTTCTGCGCTTTTATAAAATGTTCTTGGATGCCACTGCTTTTAGTTTTTTTGTAAGAGTTTTAGAAGGGTTGTTTTTAATTCTTTGAAAGTTGGTAGAATTCACTTTTGAAGCCATTCAGTTTGAGTTTTTTGTTTTTAGGGGAGTCTTTTTGTTTTTTGTCCACACCTGGTAGTACTAGAACACTTAGCTAGACTAAATCTAAAGCTGAGTCTAGTCTTAACTAAACTAAGTCTAGAACCTTTAGTTAGATTTTGAGGAAAAAAGAGAGTAACCCTAAGTAAATATTTAGATCAATGGTGAAAGGGAATAAGTTGCAAAAGATAAGTTATTATGTGCAACTTTATGCTACTAAGATGGAGAATCCAGATGAAATAGAAGAATTCTTAGAAATTTATAATCTCCAAAATTTAATGAAGATGAAGCAGAAAATCTTTACAGAAAACCTGATTCATCACAAGTAAAGAATTGAAAGAGTAATTAAAAATCTCTCCAAGACCTCAGGATGGGACAGGGGGGGGGGGATGAGGGTGGGGGGGGATGCTGGGACCCATGGGGATGGATGACGGGCACTGGTGGAGGGATGGGCACTTGATCATTGTATAACTGAAACCCAAGCACAAAATTTGTAAGCCTATAACTGTACCTCATGGTTTTTCACTAATAAAAAAAGAAAAAAAAATGATAGTAATAAAATTCATCGTTTGAAAAAAAAAATCTCTCCAAGACCAGAATCCTTGGTCCAGATGGATTTACTGATGAGGTCTACCAAACTTTCAAAGAACTTTGCTATCTACAGGAATCATTCCTGTGAAGCCAACATCATTTTAAGACCAAAAGGAGGCAGATGTTACTAAAAATGAAAATTACACAACTATATCCCTGATGAGCTTTGATGCAAAAATCCTTAACCCAGTCTTAATGAAACAAATTCAGCACCATACCAAAAAGATCATATATCATGGGCAAGCGGAGTTTATCCCAGGGATGCAAAGCTGATCCAATATATGTGGGTCTATTACTGTAATATACTATCATCAAGGGCTGGAGCCATAGCACAGCAGGTAGGGCGTTTGCCTTGCACACGGCTGACCTGGGTGTGATTCCTCTGTCCCTCTTGGAGAGCCTGGCAAGCTACTGAGAGTATCTCGCCCGCACAGCAGAGCCTGACAAGCTCCCTGTGGCGTATTCAATATGCCAAAAACAGTAACAACAAGTCTCACAATGGAGATGTTACTGGTGGCTGCTGGAGCAAATCGATGAACAATGGGAGGACAGTGCTACTATCAACAAAAGAATGAAAAATTTCATATCATTGCGAGAAAGCCTTTGAAAAATTCAGTATCCATTCATGATCAAAATTCAACAAAATTGGAATAAAAGGGGAAATTCTCAAGATAGTAAAGCCACTTACAAGAAACCCACAGTCAATACCATATTCATTGTTTAAAAAAAACTGAAAAAGCCTTTTCTCCGGGAAAGGTGCAAATCAGGGAAATCTACTCATGATACTATTTGATATAGTCTTAGAAGTCATTGTCTCACCATTCAGACAAGAAAAAAAAAGGATCCAAATTGGAAAAGAAGTTGAACTATCACTATTTTAAGATGACATGATAATATATATAGAAGATCCTAAGAACAAGTCCTTTTTAGTTAGGCATTGCCTTGCTTTTGTTTTTGTTGCCATTAAATTTGGTGTCAAATTCAAAAAGTATTGCTAAGACCAATAGCATGCAGCTTATTACATAATTTACTATGTTTTATTCTAGTTTTATGTCATCAGGTCTCATTTTCAAATCTTTGTGTCATTTTGAGTTTATAATTGTGTTTGGTGTAAGTAGCATGCATTTTTATACATTTGGATGTGGCTTTAGGTTTTTTCTCACATTTAGATGTGATAATTCTTTCCCCAATCTTTAGTCCTTTGTAGTAAGTTAATTGTCCACATACATGCATGGATGTATTTCTTGGCTTTTTATTAGGTTCTTGTAATCTGTATGGTTTATTTATTTCTTGAACTTTTTTGCGGTTAATGTTTAAGTGTCAATAATCTTATAGATAGGTTTATCTTTTACATGAGAGTCTGAAGCATTAATTGGCTAAATGACTTACGGTCTTAAGAGAGTTGAGCTGAACCTAGGTAGCCTGATTTCACAGTTCACATTCTTTTTCACTAAATGTATATCTTATTTTGTAATTTAAAAATTAGAAATGTTGGATTCATTTAATTTTAGATTTAAAAATGCTAAAATGAGGTGTAGAATTAGGACGAAGACTATAAATTATTATAATAAGTTTCTTTTATTTCAGCTAGATATTCCTCTGGTTTCTGTCTTTGCAACTTAAATGTTTAAGTGCTGTGACATTTTTGTTTCTTTTGACTACTGGAGACTGTTTCCCTACAATATTTAGAGGAATGCCCTTCAAATCTTTTAAATTTTTTAAACTTTTAAAAGTGTTTGTCTTTAAATAGATAAATTCAAACTGGTTGAAGGGATAGTTTAAAATCTCCTGGACTTTAAAATAGATAGACATCTACCAAAATAATATCTATTTTAATCTTTCTAAAAGGGAACAATATTTTTAGACTGGATTATAAGGTTTATGAATCTCTAATCTTATTTCATGAGCATTTATTGGGTGTCCAAGTGATAATAATAACTATATTTATTGAGACTCTGCCTTACTCTGCAGTTCTGTGTTAGAGACTTAAAAAAATATCTTCCACATTCCCACTTAGGTGAGAGAGAGAAAATGATATAATTTAAATATAATTTACCAAATGCTGTTGAGAAATTTTGGAGTTTATGTTGGGAGAGCACAAAGTAATATTTAATATAATCTGGAGAAATATGAGAAAACATGTAGAGTAAGTGAAACATTTGAAGTGAAACATGTAAAGAAGGTAGAGAAAGAAAATTTAGCTTGGATTTATTAAGGAGCTGGATATGTTGATGCAGTTTACTAGCTTACTAGATATGTGTGCTTTGTAATAGTTACTTAGTATTTATAATGGATAGCTAGTGTGAGTGTAACAGGTGGAAGAGAAAACTATTAGTAAAAGAAGTACCAGTGGGTGACTATGTCAGACTTTAGGAGTTTTACTTAACATGTGGTCAGTTACATAGAGATGTATAAGATAATGATACATATTTGATTTTAAGAAGATATTTCTTACACTGGATAGAGATTGATTTGGGTGGAGTTGTGTATAAAGTTCTTTTCATAAGACCAGTCAAAGGATGGAGGGTAAGGGTACTCAGGTTGGGCTGCAGTGGAGAGGAGAGATCTAATTCAGTTAGTGCTTTTGACATAAATTGAAGAGGTTCAGACACTAATTAGGTGCATGAGATAATGAATGAGTTACTGAAGTCTCTGAGGAATTGAACTCCATAAGGAGAGAAGATACATAAAAAGATAACTTGAATTTGATGTGATGTGTACTAAGCTAGAGACAGGAAAAATTATCTGCAATTATTATACAGTATGTGTGTGGGTTTATTTCTAGGCTCTTTATCCTGTTTATTGATGTATCCTTTTTGTTAGGTTGTTTTTTTTTTTTTCCCTGTCTCACCCAGTGTTGCTTGAGGCTACTCTTAGCTCTATACTCAGAATTGAACTTGAGTCTCTGGCAAGCAAAGCATGTGCTCAGTTAGTTGAGCAATCTTTCCAACCCTGGTATGTGGGTGTTTTTTTTTTTGTCATTGCCATTTTGTTATGATTACTTATAGCTGTGTACATAAGCTGACCCCAAACATTATGTTGATTAGGGGTATCCACACCATACACAGTTGAAAATTCACCTATAATTTGTGAACTCCTACTGAAACTTAATTAATAATAGCCTGGGGTTGATTAGTAGCCTGTATTCAATTAAAATACTCTTTGGGTAAACCTGTAATAAAACAGGGTCAAGAAAGGAAAATATTGGCTTTTTCTTCAAGCTCATATTTTCCATTGAACATGTACTTTGCTTGTCTCTGTATCTCTTTGCTTGTGTTTTTTTTTTCCTATGGAGAAGCCCGTGTTCTCTCTTGAACATGGATTCCTCTCCTTTTCACGCCTTACGTTTTTGTAAGAAAATGTCTTTCAATAGAAACTATCTTGCTTTAAAAAAAAAGAAATAAGATATATTTTTTAAAAATAAAATATTTCCATAAAATATCATTAAGGAATAGAAAATACACTCACAGTACTGCACTGGTAATTTTGTCTGTTGTAAGTTTACATAATCTGTAAGAACATTTACATAAAAGTGGATGCATGATGTTTAAACCTATGTTGTTTAAGGGTTAACTAAGTGAAAGCAAGAAGTGTGATGTCATCAGCTTTGTTCATCTTTCTTAGGTTGTAAATATTGAGAACATTGAAAAATTGTAAACTAGCTAAAGAAAGATTTAATGTAACTCAGAAGGAAAAACTAAGCTAATAGTAAACATACTCTACTATCCAACTTTCCCCTTTTGATTAAAAGATAGCAAAATATTAAATAAAATAATACAAAAATAAAACTTTCTTATAACTTATTTATTAGAATATAATACAAAAATAAGGCCTCTTTGACTTTCATGGACACGCTCTACTCATATGTTGCCTTGTACTTATTCTTGATTACTTATGTATGTAGGATCTTAAATAACTTCCTAACAAGTATTCCATAGCTTCACTTCCAGTGGTGTTATTGGAATTTTTGATAGATGATTGAATTTGTAGTTTTTAAATAAGACATACATGTGTTTAAAAATTGAATACCCAGAAAATAGTCCTTCAGTTTGAGGAAGTTGCTGAATCATCTCTGTGTATGGTCTGCTTTTCACAGGTTTAGGATATGTATCTATTGCCTAGTCATAACATTATGTGTTAACTTTTGTGTATTTCTGTTGTAGGCCCAGATTATTCTTTATCAACATGGTTACCTGGTAATGAACCACTGTGGCAGGCTACAACCGTTCCATTCAACCATCGAAATAACCATATCAGGCGACACAGTATAGCTTCAGATAGTGGTGATACTGGCATTGGAACTTCTTGTTCTGACAGCGTGGAAGGTGAGCTAAAATTCTTAGTGTTTAACTGCCAGTTCTCAGATGATTGTGATAGAAACATTCAGAAGGTATCTTTTTTTTGTTTCAAGCTGAGAAATTATGACTTGCAAATAATTGAATATTTAATAATGAAATCTATTAATTGATATAATCACTTTATATTAATGTTGTATAACCAAATAATGAATGTACTTATTTTGAAGATAAAATAATTTAAATAATAAATAATTTAAATAACTAATTTAAATATCTAATATTTTACATATATCACTAGAATACTACATATCTGTTTTGATAATTTGTGGAAATGGGACAGTATGAGTGATCCGATTTTTAATTTGACCTTTCCAGCATTTGGTTATTTTAAAAATGTAGCCTTTCTGATAGGGAATATAGTGATAATTCATTGTAGTTTTAATTTTCATTTTTAAAAAAGATTAGTAATTGAATCTTTTTATTGGGGAGTAGGGGTTTGGCCACACCCAGTGGTGCTTAATACTCCCAGAAATAATGGATGACACCAGATATGGAGCATTGCTAAATTAATAGAAAGGTTCACTAATAATGCTGAGCAATTTATTTGGCATGGGATAATCCAAATAAATGTGGGAGACTGGTCTGCTGAGTCTCTCATTCCTCTCTCCTATTTTTTGTCTATTTGTGTTTTGCTGCAATTAAAACTTCAAGTGAATGATTTGAAAGACAACTTGCACTCTTAAAAAATGTATTTCATTACAATTGTTTGAAAATAATCCATAACTGGATCTAAGATCAATTGAGTACTTAAGAGGAATTCTTTGTTAATTACAAATATTTAATTTTATAAGTGACTTTTAATGTGGATGTACTTATTTCCTCTCTAACCTGGAGCTTTTAGGAGGTTCATTCATATATTAATGTTTATTGAATATTTACTGTGTTTAAGACTGTGGAAGTTGAGTTCAAAATGGAGAGGATTACATTAGAATATTATTAGAGACAGTGATTTTGTATGGAAATACATTCTACAATTGTCATAAAGTACTTTTCCATTAACCAGAGCTATTTTGATATGTCAGATATCACTAAATAAGGGTGTGAGCTTTTTATGTTTAGCAAGAAGTTGAGACACTAATTTAACATTACTGGCACCACGTTTTTAATGTGGTAAATTGTTTATGGGGTGTTGAGTTCCAGGTTGGTAGGAAATAGATCTGTAACTTGAAGCTGATGTGTCTACCAGACTACCAAATTGTAACATAAATCACCACAGCAGATGATCAGTTTCTTCCTAGATCTTTTGCCAGGATCTGGAGGCCAGGCATGTAGTTGTGATTGCACAGAAATTTGTTTGAGCAGAATTTGTATTTGAAGTTCGCAGCACTAGTTGCAGTGCATAATGTCTATGTTGAGTGATTGAGGGAAAACTAACTTGAAACTGGGAACCTAGGATCCGGAGGCAAATACAAGAGCTTAGTTTTGCTTACACTAGGCTCTATGGCCTTTCATAAGGACTTTTTACCTACCATAAAACATGGCTCCTATCATTGAGTGAGATTCCCAACACTCTTACCCACCTCCAAACAATAGATAGGCTCCCATCCCAGACTTTTATCTTTTCTATGTGTGGTGTAAAGAATAGTTTTATTTAAGAAATATGCTGTAGAGCATTTTCTCATGTGCCTTTTTGCCATTTGGATTTCTTCTTTGAGAAAGTTTCTGTTCATTTCATTACCCCATTTTATTATGGGGTTGGATGTTTTCTTCTTGTGGAGTTCAACCAGTATTTTATATATCCTTGATATCAACCCCTTGTCAGATGTGTATTCAGCGAATATCCTTTCCCATTCTGTAGACTGTCTTTGTATTTTGGTCACTGTTTCTTTGGAGGTGCAGAAGCTTCTTAGTTTAAGATAGTCCCATTTGTCTGTCTCTGTTTTCACTTGCTCGGCCAGTGGCATGATATCTTTGAAGATACCATTAGCCTCAATGTCATGGAGGGTTTTCCCAACTTTGTCTTCAGTGTACCTTATGGATTCCGGTCCGATGTTGAGGTCTTTAATCCATGTTGATCTTACTTTTGTACATGGTGTTAGGCAGAGATCTGAGCCCATTTTTTTGCATGTAGCCGTCCAGTTTTCCCAGCACAGTTTGTTAAAGAGGCTTTCCTTACTCCACTTTACATTTCTGGCTCCTTTATCAAAGATTAGGTGAAGTCATGAAATTTACATACAAGTGGTACTACATGGAAAGTATCATGCTAAGCGAAATGAGTCAGAAAGAGAGGGATAGACATAGAAAGATTGCATTCATCTGGGGGACATAAAATAACAAAATAGGAGATTAATACCCAAGAATAGTCGAGATCAGTACCAGGATGATTACTCCATGGCTTAGAGGCCAGCCGGGCGTGCTAGGGAAAAGGGAAGCTCAGATAGAGAAGGTAAAGGTAAAGGCCCTCCCGTTGTTCATTGATTTGCTCGAGCGGGCCCAGTAACGTCTCCTTTGGAGACTTTGTTGTTACTGTGTTTGGCATACAGCGAATACAGTACGGGGAGCTTGCCAGGCTCAGCCGTGTGGGTGAGATACTCTCAGTAGCTTGCCAGGCTCTCCGAGAGGGGCGGAGGAATCGAACTCGGGTTGGCCATGTTGGCTGCGTGCAAGGCAAACACCCTACCACTGTGCTATCGCGCCAGATAGAGAAGGGAACACCAAATAAAGGGTGTTTGGAGGATCCTCCCAGGATGGGAGATGCGTGTTGAAAGTAGACTATGGACCGAACATGATCGCCACTCAGTGCCTCTTTTGCAGACCAGAACACCCCAAAGGAGAGAGAGAACAAAAGGGAATGCCCTGCCACAGAGGCAGGGTGGGATGGGGGGGGATGGGGAGGGTTGGGGGTGAGAGAGATACTGGGATCCATGATGGTGGAAAATGGACACTGGTGGAGGGATGGGTATTTGATCATTGTATAATCGAAACCCAAGCACAAAAATTTGTAAGTCTACAACTGTACCTCATGGTGTTTCACTAATAAAAATTAAAAAAAATACTCAAAATACAGCAAAATCACCAAAAAAAAATGTACTCAGAGCTAGGATGTGGGTGACTACAGAGTGGAGTGTGGCTCATTTATTCACTTAAGTTTGAGCTTTTTGTAGTCTACTTTGTACTAATTTTTTTGTACTAATTTTTAAGTGCATTTTATTTAAGATAATGTATGGAGTTGAATAATTATTTGATAATTCCTAACTGCTAATCTTCATTAGAAGTAGTTTTCTTATGTAATAGACCTCATATTTTTTTTTCAAATAGTTGGGGTTGTTAGAAGTGGACTTCAATTTAATCATATCTCATTGGACGTAACTTGTAAATAGAAGGGCTATTGAGTAATTTTGAGGTTCTCTTGTTAGGATACATATCAGAAATAAGGAAAATAGAGAAAAGTTACCATTTGGAGTATTCTTTCATTTTTATGGAGAAATTAAGTTTTTGAAAGATAAAGTAGGGTCTTATTCAGTCATTTTTCCTGTGTTACTGTTCTAGGTTTAAAATTAAACATTTCCTCTATTCATTGCATACCACGTCTAGTGGAAAAAAACAGATTGGAAATAATTATCTTGAAACATACTTGGATAGGCCAGATACACAGACTAGGGGAACATATCCTAATCCACTGGTTTGAGAGAAAAACTCAACAGTGAGAATATTATGGAGGGTAAAAATCAGAGGTTCAGTAGGAATCACAAAGTCAAGAATGGGGAAGGAGCTGGGTCCAGAGAGAACAAAACTGGGTTACAGTTTTGTGTTACAGGGAGGACCCTAATAGTGTCTTGTGTTATAGGCAGGACCTGATAGTGTCTTGTTCCTAAGAAGACGGAAAGCAAAAAATAAGATGATTCAGGAAGTTATTTGTGATGTGAAAACCATAATTTGTTTAAATAGCTGAATTGAGGTGTAGTTCACATTCCATGCAGGTCATCCATTAAAGTGTCTTTTACATATATAGAATTATACATCTATAGTTCATCAATTTTAGGACATTATAATTATCATCGGGCCAGAGCGATAGCATAGTGGGTAGGACGTTTGCCTTGCATGCGGCTGACCTGAGTTCGATTCTTCCGCACCTCACGGCAAGCTACTGAGAGTATTCAGTACTCACAGCAAAGTCTGGCAAGCTACCTGTGACATATTCGATATGCCAAAAACAGTAACAAGTCTCACATTGGAGACTTTACTGGTGCCCAGCTCGAGTAAAATAGATGAACAACAGGAGGACAGTGCTACAGTGCTACATAATTATCATCATCATTGTCCCCAAAGAAATTCCAGAATCCTTACCTATCATTATCTCTCAACACATCTTAACCCTAGCAGCCACTATTTTAGGGTATGTCATAATTTTCTCTGAAACACTTTTTTCTTTGTGTATTTTATTATAGTCACTAGATTTTGTTAGTTTTTAAGAAATGTTTTGCACAATGGTTTCTTTTTTAAAAAAATTTTCTTTATTATTATTATTATTTTAAATTTATTTATTGAATCACCATGAGAACAGTTACAAAGCTTTCAGGTTTAAGTCTCAGTCTTACGATTTTCAAACACCCATTCCTTCACCAGTGCATATTTTCCACCACCAAGAACCCCAATATAACCCCCATCCTAACCCTCCCCTGCCTGTGAGGGAGATGATTTCCCCTTAACTCTCTCTCTACTTTGATTACATCCATTATTTCGACAAAAGATGCACCATTATTACTTGGAATTTTCCCCCAACAATCAGACCTGCTGAAAAGGCATCATGAAATAATTTTTTTTCTATTGCTGGTTATGAAGAGCACATGATGTCTCATGGCCATTGGATTTCTGGTATTGGGCCCGCTCGAGCAAATCGACGATCAACGGGAGGGCCTTTACCTTTACCTTTACTAATTAAGTCTGGAGGGATTTCTGCAAAAAGCCGCATAGTTCTGAGATTGGTTTGTGTGCCTCTGGCTCCATGGCCGTGCTGGAGAGCCACT